ATGTTCATTACTGCAGATATCTGAGGATAAATGGGTAGAGCCAGCGTCTGTTCCAGGGATAAAAGAATTATGTCGATGGGACATGATGATGGGCTTCAGTGCCGTCAGAGAACATATTGATAGAGTTTGTGGGAAAAAGTCATTTTCATTGCAATCATTTTTATTATTTCCATTTCTGAAGAATGTGGTTCTGCCATTAGGTTCCGAGAGGAGCTGCAGTGTACAGTCGACATGCTCTCGTTTAGCCACAGCCTCAGTGGACTGGTGTAGCTGTTCATAAGGAGAAAACTGCTCCATTACTAGTCTTCCAGGATTAATCGATTATTTTGGTAGGAACAGACTACAGGTGAACATCAGCACAAGTCACACAACCCAGTAGAGACGGTTAATTTATTCACCTAAGGCAGCTCCAAACTAGTTCAACACCATGCCAATAAAGTCATCCGGGTGGCTGCATTTTGCTAAAACAGAAAGTTTGTGCATCAACAACCAGCATTGCAGATAAACAAAGAAAAATGGTTTTGTGCTGGGATCCCAAGTTGATATAGAAATCCCATCTGTTGTTATCATTTCAGTATAAAATAACCAAATGATTTAATATCCTGCAAATACAAGCCTTTCATGTTTGTTTATAATTCATTTAGGCTTATAAAGCAAGAAGGTCGAGTCTATCTGATGCCCTGTGGCTGATTTAGTTAATCTACAGATAACACACAGACTTTTTTCTGTGCAACCAGATTGGTGACGAATAAGTATTATTGGTAGTTCCCAGCATGCTTTGGGAGAATAAGGCTACTTTCCTCCCCCAGTATTTCTTTACATTTTGGTAAATCTGCAGCACAGATACAGACAACAATCAACATTTGATGCTTTAGTTTTTCTTTGCTGCCTGCTATGGACTAAAACCAGGTGGAGCATCTTGTTTATATGATTTCTAAGAGATTATGGACATGGGCTTTGGAGAAAGTGCCACCACTTGAATGAGAATTGATTTCTCCAACTATGTGCACAACATCTGTGTGTTCTGAAGTGCATTAGAAGATGAAAGAGTTCATCAGTGTATAAAGACAATTTCAATAGTTTGCTAATCAATACAAGATAGCTGTAAGGAAGTCGCAAAAATCTAAAAATCAAGGGACTTCTCTATTAATTCTCCCAGCAAACAGCTCACATGCATGATGTGATGTAACACCCAGATAATACCCAAACTTGTTACAGCAAAAATGAAAGCAAAAACGCGCACATACACTTTCTCCCTGAAGAGCCGTGGACGGATGATCGCGTTGGGCGGGATTGGTTGTTTAACTTGCATGCTGATTCTTTTGTGGTAGTGTGTGTGTGTGTGTTGTGTGCGTCCGCTTGTGCACGACCAGATGACAAAAGCAGGCTTTATTGCATCAGTCTGGCTCTATATGAGGGGCGTCACAGGGTCACATCATAACTAAGTTAGTCAAGGTTCAACAGGGTTGCAGAGCAGGTTGGGGGGTGGGATCAGGAAGAGGTCCCACTGGGTTAAAGACGGGGTGGAACGGGCGAGCGGGGAGTGGGGGGCTGGAATTAGTCCACTCACGCTTGGCTGGACCCTGGGCATGCTAACAGGCTACAGTGCTAATCTAGTTAGAGGTGGAAGCCATGCAGAGACAGGGATGGGGTAGGAGGGCGGGGATGGAGATGGATTCCTGGGGGGGTCAAGGTCTAGAGCCCCGGGTGTTGAGCTGGATGGCAGGTGGTTGAAGCTGAATAGTAGAGTAGAAACGACTGGGGTGAGCGAAGAGGAGGCAGATGACGGGGCATGGGGTGAAAGTGGGCAAAGAGAGAGGGGTGGCAAAGGGCAGTTTGGGGGGGTGTCGCACTCTCCGGTCAACAGATGGAGAGAAGAGAATGAAAAGGAGCTACAGGGTGACCCAGTGGTTAGACAGAGCCTTATTAAATCACATCCAGCCTTTCATCTTTCAGCTCTTTCACTTGTTTGCTTGTCATTCAAAAAATAATCAATCAGCAATAGAAACGAATGACATGTACGGACAAAAATCATGCTCCAGATTACTTACAGTAAAATGTTGCTACAGCCAGAACCAAGTGTGGCCCAGACAGAGCAGATATTTCCCCAGAGGCTCCCTCAGGCTTCTGACTGAATACTCGTGTTATGATGTTTCCCTCTGTGACCCAGTAACTTCTGTATTATCCCACCACAAGGACTATAGGGTAGCATGCAAAAAAAAAAAGCTGCTTCCTGCACATTTAACAACTTTGTATACCGTCAACTACACTTCACACACACTCATCCGTCATCTTCCCCCCATTCCAAACCGAAGAGCACATCAGAGACAGGCGACATTATGTACTATAAGGGATGCGACTACGGGATGAGCGCCGCCGAACTCTCGCATCAATCCAGCTTGATCGAGTCACTGAACTTCTAACAACCTTGGAAGGATTGTTTTTTTTATGGCCCTGCCATCTGTTTTCAGAAACTCCTGAAGAATTAACTCTGTGCATTCTGTACACAACAAGATCAGAGTAAAAAGTCTTGTAGGAATTGAAATGTCTCCGCTGCTGCATTCATAGCTGGATAAAGGCAACAAGTAAACACCAAAAATATGGATGCAAATGAACACAGAACTCAAGGAGAGGCAGAGAAGGATGGAACAATCAGGCAATGTTAGAGATATTATTGTTGAGAAAAAGAGTTGTGGTGCAGGTGGAAAAAAAGAAGATAAATGATGCAGCGCAGCAGCATAACAGTTTTGCATATTTAGAAAAAGGAGCAGCCTTATTCTCATGGTGGTGATCACAGATTTGTTAAACTCACACATCTTTATAGTTAGATTTCACTCTTCAGTAAGAGGAGGGACATCATTCTGATCATATTTATGAGTTATGGTGATTTTCTTTCAAATTGTCTAGAGATATTGTAATAATATAGCTAATATGAATTCTTTCAGCTACAATAATGATGTGTAGTGAAAATTTACGGCCGTATTTGTAAACTAAGTTAGTTGCCAATTTTGATCAGGGTCAACCTGTTTCTCATTTTAACAGGTTCATTCATCTCTACTCGCTTCTCTTGCTTCCTACCTGAGGTGTCACTTCACTGCCAAACAAGTATCCATCCATTATCTATACACCGCTTAATCCTCACTAGGGTCATGGGGGGCTGGAGCCTATCCCAGCTGACTCAGGCCGGGACACCCTGGACAGGTCACCAGTCCATCACAGGGCTACACTTAGAGACAGACAACCAAGCACACTCACATTCACACCTACAGACAATTCAGAATCACCAATTAACCTCAACATGTTTCTGGACGGAATCCGGAGAACCCGGAGAGAACACACGCTGCACGGGGAGAACATGGAGACTCCACGCAGAAAGATCCCGGTGCCCCCACCGGGACGCGAACCGGCGACCTTCTTGCTGCGAGGCAACAGTGCTACCAACTGCGCCACCCTGCAGCCCCCAAACAAGTATGTTATACATAAAAACAGCTTGTGTCAGTCAAATCAAACTACATTAACAATGTTTTATCAGCGTATGAAAGTAGTAAATAGGAGGTATAGCATGAGTTTAGTGTGGTTGGTAGTCACAGTCAGTATGTGCATATCAGTGTAGAGTAGGGCTGAAGAATTAATACACTTCAGATCAAAATTGTGACTTTAAATAATGTAATTAGCAAATTGGTAAGACTGTAATTTAGGTTACATGTTAGGCAGCATGTAATTTCACAAATTCACACCATCCTCTTTGCGTAAAAGTCACATTGTTGATCGTATTTCATGTAATGATGCTTCATCACGTGATCTAAATCTATTAAACAGTAAATATTGAAGTGACATATGAGTTTAAAAGGAACCTAGACCACAAATCAAATCAGAATTGCAATGTCTGTCAGAAAAAAACACCTTTTTTGAATAATTATTAAATTGATCGGCAACTATTTTGACAATTAATTCATCAATTTGAGTTATTTTTAACAGAAAAATAGCCCAAAAAATCTCTTATTCCATCTATTTAAATATGATTTTCTAATTTCTTTACACACCTATGAGAGTAAACTGGATATCTTTGGGTTGTGGACATTCGAGGATGGTGTTTGCTAACATTTTGTGGACTAACAACTAACCCATCAATTGAGAAAATAATTTAAAGAATAATGGAAAATGAAAGTAATCATTAGCTGCAGCCCTGTGTCAGTGACACACTGATTTTTTGCCAGACTATAAAATGACAGCAACATAATAAGTCAAGCAATATTCATCAAGACATTTACTATGTCAGAGGCAGAATTGGAGAATTTCCATCACCTTAATGCTGCCCGGAGGGAAGCTCGGAACAATAAATACGTGACAAAGTCAAAATCACAGAGCAGCATGGGTCTTTTTAATATCACATTCGTCATGTTGCTCAGTCTTAATAGACCCTCCCATAGCAAAATGTAATTTCATGGTCAAATGTAAGGTACTAGCAGGAGCAGGACGGAGCTGAGTAGCAGTGCAGAGATAGTTCTCTGTCAGATGTGAAAATTGGCTATTTCCAATTCCATTATATTTAAACCATCTTGAACCCTCGATAGACAAAATATTGAGAAATAACACCAGACTGTTGCGTCGGTGACTCAGTCTGTGTGATAACAAGAGCAAACTAAGAAAAGAAGCGAGGTCAAAAGGAGAGAGCACCGCGTCAACGCCGCATCTGTTTTCAGGCTAAAACTCTCTTTGCGCATTATGTTCGGCGTACATCTGTCCCATAAATGTGCTTTCTGACTCTCTTTCTCTCACATACAGTCGCTGCTGTCTCACCACGATGCGCTTTCTCACATTGCACAAAAGATGGCATGAAAGTGTTGATTAAGGGTGGCTTTAGTTCCTCGGGTGTTTTTGACATTTTTGCAGAACCTCCTCCGACATAACAGCAACATCTGTGCTGTTCTATGCAACAGAGTGTTTTGTGTTAACTGGAATATTGTTGAGGTTGAGACTGTGCAGCAGATATGACGTACTGGCTTTGAGGCTGGCTTCGTTGACTTCGATCTCTCCTCTGCCTGGCTCCTGGTACTGCAGGTGGGAATAGTAGTGGAGGGGATCCGGACTCGGAGCGGCACTGGAGTAGCCATTAGACATGCTCTCTCTTGGGCTGTCCGTCCTCTCATTCTGGACTTCATGAAACACTGCCACCAGCTGGAAGAGACACACAAAGTCTGTAAATGTTCGAAAATGTGAAACACAATCTTTCTCAAGACAAGCAGGTTAAACAATGTCATAACTGGAAACATGCAGCCAGGTCATACAGCATCTCCGCTGTGCCGTGATCACAGTGAGGCTTTTATGTGATTTATCTTGCCAGCAGTGGGGATGCAACCTGCTTCATTCTGCCAAGTGTGCAGATGTGTGTGTGTGTGTGTGTGTGTGTGAGGAAAGCAAACATAGCTGGATTCACAGCTCATTCACTCTCAAACCTCTTACAGTGCACAACACGGCAGCAGATGCCTCTTCAGCAACACAATAACTTTTTTTCTTTCTTCTTTTTCTTGTGGGAACAAAGGAGAGAACCTGACCGGCGATTGTGCAGGGAGGCCCGGTTCAGACGCGCGGAGAGGCGAGGCGAGGCGAGGTGTGTATGTATGAAATTAGCAGTCAAATGAGATCTGACGTGAGAATGAGAAGCTGTCAAACACAATGACACGGCCGCCACAATGAGGCGAGAGGCAGGGGCGGCCAAATGAACAGGGGATGGAGGGCAGGAGAACGACAAACAATCCTAATTGAGACAGGGACATGATGGCAGATAGACGACGGAGGGAACACGTGTGGATGTGTGTGCTGACTGCGGCCCGCGCCACTGCAGCTACGTGGTTTGATAAATGGGCGCGTGGCGGCGTGACGCTCTCATTAGACGGTGCTGGCGAAGGAAATGACCACTTAATGAAAAGCAATAACCGCAAAGGAACGAGGGATGGAAATAAAACAACGGACGAGTTGAAGACGTCAATTAACAACAACAGAGGCTGTGTGTGTGTGTGTGTGTGTGAACAATAAGAGCAGAGGAAGCGGAAAGATATTTATCATCCATCACGCTGTGACGCCGCCTCTCACCTCAACCTCCCGTGATTCAATATCCTCATGACACCTGGCCATGCAGAGGAGATTCGTCAGCTGTATTCATGTGTGTGAGCTTCAGAAGGAAAAGATGAGGAACTGAGGGGCTGGCAGATGCAAAAGAAAAGAGGAAAGAAAAGACAGAGCGCCAGGAAAACAATCTGATTGCGCCGCTTGATGGATGCTTCTCAAGCTCTTTCTCTCTTCTTTATCTGCTTTCCTCTTTCTCTCCTTATCTCCTTCCCTCCCGAGCCTCCGTCTCTTTCTCCGAACTCGCTGACAGCATCAATCAAAGCCGAAGTCTCGGAGCGTAATGTGATGTTGCTCTCGCGCGCGCACCGGCGGGCGTGCGCGAAGGCGGTGATGAGCTACCCTCGAAAATGATTTATTCGTTCTGAACAACAATAACAACTTCTTTTAATGTGTGGCGGGGCTGATGATGATTTGCTTTTCGGGAGTTTATTTTTTATGGCTGACACAGGCAGGGAGTGATGCTGATGAAGGCCGCCCTGCTGCTTCCGCTCATCACTCAATCAAACACAAAGTATCAACAAAATGAATCATGTAGTGCTTCATTTGGAACAAGTATAGAAAAATTGACCTTTTGAAGTACTGTGTTTGAGTCTTGATGAGGACTTTGCATTGATCACATGCTTTGTAAGCCATAACCTTTAACTTTGCCAATCATCCACTCAAGAGTCTCTGCATTTATGCCTGGTTTTAAGTATTCTCATTGAAAGGGGTCCAAAATCTCCCTCAGCCAAAGATCTGACAAATAAAAGGCCTAATTTACTGAATGGAAAATTAAACTGGCAATTGTTAAATGAAACCAGGCCCATGCCGACTGACGGGGTGCCAAGACAGATGATGGGTGCTGACAAGGGTTAAACTGAGGTGAGAAAGTTTGTCAGCATATTAAAATGCTGATGGCAGCACTGATTCTATTACACAAGGCTTTTTTCTGCCGGAATCCAAGAGCAGTAAGTGCAGCTCCACGAAATTCCAAAAACATTACACTTCACAAGATGTATTGCTTTAATATTTTTAAAGGGTCAGTTCCATCATCAAAAATGTATTTTCTCATCGCCCCCCCTTTGCAGTGTCGAGCCATTTGTGCAGTTTTGGTTTACAGATCTCTCACATCACCTCGATAAAAAGAAGGTCCGGTAGCATCTCTGTATGCTAAATGCTAAGATGTTAACAGGCTCGCGATTTAAATGCAAACACGCCGATGCTAAGCAGCCATAGTGTTTACAGTGTTTGTGTAGCATGTTAATCCAGGCCAAAGCCAAAGTACAATGCAGGCTGATGGAAATTTTTTTACATTTGTAGGTATTTGGATATAAACTAGTGGGTGAATGGAAATGCTGGCCAGATGGTAGCATGAGATCAGAGGTTATAGAGTTACAGCTCATCCTGTGGAGGGCTTAAATATCTGTATCAAGTTTTAAACATTTCATAAACTTTACAGTGCCATGAGAGAAAAGCATCAAAGTCAATCAGGCCAAAAGTCAATCAGGAGTCATTCTCTGGGGATCGTGAATGTCCAAAAACAGATAAATCAATCAAACTTTACTGATATCAATCAATCAAATGTTTGGCCTGTTATCAATGCATCTCCAACATAAACAGTAAAAAAGATCGAGGTGAAACGACAGATAGTCAGGAATCATGTAGAGATTTGTAGACTAAGAAAAAATCATTTCTAAATCTAACAGGAAGCCAGTGGAGTGATTATAAAACAAAAGTAACATGCGCTCTTCTTCTGGTTCTAGTCAAATGACAAACAATCCAATCACTAATAAGCATTTTTCTGATGTACCTTCAAAAAGTAATTCACAATTCACAACCATCATATTGGGGACATGACAGAAATATCCGGCAGTAAACACGGGCACAGACCATCAACATCAGCATGGCTTCATATCACTGGAAGTTCATGGGAGATGTGTTTGTTTGGGTGATGTGGGCCTTTAATAGTGTAACATTTCCCCCCCTCTATCATTATGGAAAAGTTTTGCCTCCTGTATTACCATAAAAGCAGTTGTGGGATCAAGCTATCAGGCAGCCTTTCCTTCCAAAACAGAGCACATTAATATTGTAAAATGCCAGGAAAAATAAACTTGAGGAAAGGCTTCTAAAAACACACACAGCGGTTTGAAAATTCTGCTTTTCAAACAGAGCACCGACATGCTCTCTTGGAGGACCCCTCTGCCCCGGGATGAAGAACAACACCTTGCATGCTTCGCAGTGTGTTTGCGCAGGTTTCTCTCCGTCCTTCCTGACTGTGATTAGTATTCAAGGAAACAAATCGCCTTATTTTTCCTGCTGCTTCCGTGGGGGGATATTGATATGGACCTGGGGAGGCTGCATGTCAACTACTGCTGAATAATGGGACCCCTTTGTCTCATTTCCATAACACACACACACACACACACACACACACATACACACACTGATATCCAAGCCAAATACAAATAGCTGAACCCTTTATATTGTCATGTTATGATCTTCTGTAAATCATGACACAGTGTGTATAAGCAACGTGACCAGACTAGCTGGAAGGACCGCGTGTGTGTGTTGCAGACCCAAAGCGATTACCATGACATACATGAAAGCCGTATATAACAGCACGCGTGAAGCACGGAGAGATAAACATTGTGCCTGTGTGTATTCTCGCCAATACGCACCGCCTCGAGCGCAGAGTTATAAAATGTTGCAATATATGTGGCCTACGGCAGACAAAGCATACTGATTTTTAAATTAAAAGCAAGGCAAGCATGCATCCACCCACATACCACATTATTGTTTGATTCTTACTTTATCATACTTTTCTCACACTGCATCACCTCTCTGCTTTGCCCTAGCGGATTGAAATAACTCAGCTGAAATAGATTCCCAAGAATGCATGTTAACAAGCTTTTAAAAATGGGAGAGAATAATGACAGGGCCGCAAAATTAAAAGATGAACGGTTGTGATCGCACACACACACACATGTTCTCGATATGTTTTAGGGTTTGTAGATTTTGTCAAATAAACTTTGACACTCAATAATCATGCTATTAGCCACACCTGGGATTTTCCTGTTATCGGTGCACAGATCTGTTAGCTCGGTAAAATTGGGCAAAATATAAAATCACTCTACGAAATTAGTGTAATAGCTGCTTTTTAGTGCTAAAATGTTTCATGATGCAAGGTCTGTGACATGAGTGTTCTTCATTATCGCACCGCTCTCGCGAAAAATCGTTCTTAAATGGCTCTTCAGAAGGATGTCTGGTTCTTCAAACTGGCATCGCCGATTGAAGAACCTCTTTATTTAGAGGAGGCTGCTTCGGATACTTGATGAGTTATTTGGTTTGGCAGCAGGTAATAACATTAAATAAGAGTTGCAATTAATAATTATTTATTTTATTGTTATATAGCCTGTGTGGGAGCATCTCCACCTGGATGGGCAGGACTTCTCGGCCCTCAAAAGGGTGGTCCAGTCAGCTGAGCGGACCATCAGATCCACCCTCCCCAACCTGCAGGACATCTAAGCCCGACGATTCAGGGTTGTGAAGATCCTGAAGCAGCCTAGCCATCCTGGAAGCTCTCTGTTCTCTCTGCTGTCGTCAGGCCGACGCCATCGTTGCCTAAAGACTGCCACTGAGAGAATGAGGACGAGTTTCTTCCCTCAGGCCATGCGTTTGCTCAGCTCTGAGCTTTAAACCAGGCTGTGCGATACACATTGGCACCTTTTACATCTTATGTAATATAACAGTGTTCCATTTGCTTTATTTGATTTATTTACGTATATATAAATAAGGTGTTTATATTTCTTGAACATTTATTTTTGTTGTTTAAACTGGATGCTGGTACAAAATACATTTCTCTGTGCATTGTACCGTGTATAAATGCGTATGTGACAAATAAAGCTGATCTTATCTTATTTTCATTATCAAGTAATTACTGATCTTGTTGCAGACAGCAACCACCCGACAACAGAGTGGCAGTGAAGTCCCCCACACTCTTAGTAAATGCTCAAAGAACACAACAAAGAGCTGAAGGCATCGATCTGGCCTCCAAACTCCCCAGATCCCAA